TATTTATAGAATGTTGGTAATAGGGCCAGGGATCTTGCTCAGTGGCATAAGCACCTGCCTGGCAAGCACAAGTTCATGAGTTCGATCCCTGGTTTTAAAAAAATGTGGGTAATGTTGCCAGAGAAAAATGGTCACACTTCTGTGAAACAGAAAACCATGCCTCCCTCACGTGGAACATCTCTCTGTAAAGGAGATGGGCTCCAAAGAGTACAGTCATTGTCAATCATTGTAGGGAGTCAAAGATGAGCCAAATAGCAAACGAAAACAGACTCCCAGAGATACCTGGAAGTATCCTGGGTCTACCACCTCCCACAGGTAAGAATGTAACTAAAAGGGACAGGTTACTATTGTTTAGAATTCAGTGACAAATGTGATGCGGATTACCATTATATTAATTTGGTTAAGCTACATGGTCACAATAGTTGTAGCTGGACAACCATACAAGGCATAACCCAAGGGCATTTAGATGCAAGAGCAGCATATGAATTGGTATGAGTATCTTTAAAACAAGTTTTAATCAATGTATGTGTTTGCATATGTAAAGAGGAGCTCATTTTCAGGATCTATTTTTGATAACATCAGGCACTTGCGACTAATTCAGGCCAAGTAGACCTACAGGAGTTTCTCTGCTCCCACAACTAACAGGCAGGGATAAAGCCAGTGATAGGACAGGGTGACAGGTGAAGCTGCTGCTTATCTCTGATGAATCATGGAATTATTTTGCCAAATGGAAATGCTGAAATTCAAGAAAAACAAAGACTGTTAGTTATGCCCGCTTCCTAGAATTTCCTGTATGTAAGGTATCTCTTTCTTCTATGAAGTGGGTGGTGGTACAAGGAAAACAATGAGTCCAGAACCCCCAGAGGTATTCCAAGGAGAGGCTGACACCCTTTCCAAGAACCCGAAGTTCAAAAGGCCCAATGGACAAGCCCACTGAGACAGCCTGCTGCACTGGCTCTGGGCTCTCTGCTGCTTAGGTCCCCAGTCAGAAGGGGCAAATTTTCTGATGTGCATACAACTCAACAGGATGGATGCATAAACAGGGTACACATTGTCCCTAATATCTCAATACTACAATCTAGTGCCAGGCTTCCTTTCTGGTACTGAGGAACCACAGGGAAAAGAACATTTACCTCACTGTCTCTGGGTTCAGATCACAGCGTTTGCAGGATTTTGACTTGGAAGGCTGTTCTGTTTGTCTTATCAGAATTTAGGATATGCTCTATGCCTTCATGTGATTTAGTATCTGCTAGATGTATTACAGTTTATCAACATCATAGTAAGACCAGCTCTCCTGCAGAAAAAGAGGAAACCTTGACCTACGTTCTGACATACCCATTGGCGACAAATAACAGGAGAATTCAAGTTAAGAAAGATAGGACACGTTTTAGAGTCTGTCAGAAGAAAGATCTCCACCGTTGAGTAGAAGGGGAAATTAAGAGAAAAACATGACCTAAGTCCAAGCAGGTCTTACCATGGGTGATTGATTCTTCTCTAGTCATAATGTCTGAACACCTAGGACTACCTACTATGGTCCAGCATAGCCAGTACTGCATCCAGTTGGCAATCATCCATGACAAGTCTCCAGATCGTATTAGCTCTTTTCATTGGCCACATAGGACAATTATATTGAAACATCGCATTTCTCATTAGTCCCATCACATTTAGGCTCTTAATCAAGGTTAAGGCTACCTTCTTCTCCTCCTAGAATTCTAAACCATTTCTTTTCAAAACACAGAAGGGAACTAACAGCTGAGTTATGATCTGTCATGCATGTGTCTACCATCACCTTTCCTTCAGAACAGAAAAGTCTTCCATGGGTATAATGAGCACTCATGGAATAAGCAAGTACATGCTCAGTAACACAGTTGGCCTTCGGAGCAGCCAAAGTGGAGCACAAGGGATCCAATCATTCCTACCCCGTGGTCACAGTTACTTTGTTCGTACTTAATTCTGTTTCATATCTGGCTGATTAAATGTGTGGCCTTTACTCTTCAAGAGAAACTAGTACACAGTCATTTAATCAAGGATTTTAAAAATAGACATAAAAGCTTATGAAGTGGTCATGGAGAGTAGCTCACATTCGTAATCACAGCACTCTGAGGAGGTTGTGGCAAGAAGACCCCAAGCTGGAATCCTAACAGAGGCAACTTACAAAGAGATAATTGTGAAATTTTGAAACAGAAAATAAAAAAGGCAGAAAATGACATTCAATGGTTTAGTACCCAGTACCACACATGGGCACACACATACATCTACACAAGCTAGTTCACCTCACCCCTACCTCTCTTTGCTTCCCTGCTATCCCCTCCAGAGGATCAAGCAACAGAAGTTCTGAGCAAACATGTTCTCTGAAGCATCCAAGTAACTCCCTTAGATGTTCATTGAGAGGACAGTAACCCCAACGAAGGAATTTGGTTCCACTAAGGCATGAAGAATTTCATTTGTGTGAACAAACTGCCTCTTTATGGCCCATCATAACCTGAAATCTGGTCTGAGTTTCTCCTGTGATAAAACCATCAGCTCTCCTATGTGAACCCTATTTTCATAGGCAGAGCCATATTGCCTTCTAATTGGCTCCCTTTGGAGATGCTTGATTTCTCTCTGCCTGACATTTACTGAAGATTGTAGAGGTATCACCTGCCTTAAGGAGTCTTATTTCTTTCCTGCACATCAAATGGCTCAGTCAGTACACCTGAGATCTCTTATCAGAAAAGGATGGGGGAGAATCTGCCCACTTGCAAGAAGGAAGACAACCCTAACTCATCATTCAGGCTCTGGGTAAGGAGTTTTCTGTCCCAACAGATTGAATTTTGAGCAACATCATCATCCACCAGGCTTTTCATGGGTATCTCCATGGCATCCAATTTTACTGACTTCAAGGACATCTTCTTGGACTGACCATGATGTTGATAGTCAGATAGAATGCAGAGTAGCAAATTCATTGTGGTATGAATCCTACCCAATGAAACAATCTTCATAGTGCCTATGACCCTGTTAAAAGCCACTTCAGCACATGGAAATAGCAGCCAAATATCTAATGACTCCTCAGTCAACTGATCAAAGCATCCTTTCCCTCTCACTGTAGATACTTTATGTGGGGACACTTTGCTAACCCTGTATTTCTTGTTTAGCTTAAAACTCATGTTACTTGCATCCTCTAGTCAGATATCCTATAGGAGAGCAGATATTGACCATGGAAGCTCATTACATTGTCATCTTTCAGCCTCCATCCATTAACCAACTTATGATCTTCAACAGGTGAGACATAAGTGAACCACTGACTTCTATCACTTGAGGTAAAATATATGCTACCAGTCCCACAGAATTTCCAAAGATCCCCAGACCCATCCCATGATCTTGTGCCATTTTTAAGTTCGAAGGTACCTATGCATCTTTCCAATCCTGAAATTTATAATACTATTGCACTATTTAAAACTCCAGAGGAAATGATTAAGCAAGCAGGTAGGCTACTTTACCACAACACTACAGATTATGACAAGAAGACTCCAGTCATTAATGCACAGCAAACAGAAGTTTGCATGGGTGGTGCTAGTTTCTCTACCCTCAAATTCCATAGGGTCATGTAATGGAGCCAGATAGCAACTACACAAACAATGAGTTCTGTAACAGTCAAAAGATCCAGAGCCAGCCTCAGCATCTGGGGAACAGTAAACAAGACCTTGGCAGCAGTGACCCTTCATACAGTGGGCTGTGCAGTGCTGACCTGTATCAGCTTAATTTTGGACTTCTGGACTGACTCAGTTGCCTATGTGACTAACTACAGAGGTGTCCAAATTGGACAAGGATGCTTCCTGGCACACTCAATAAAGGTGTGCAGGGGCAATCCAGGTCCATGGTGACTTGACTTTTCTGATGTCGGTGGTGACCTGATCACCTTGTCTTTGAGAAATACTGAAATATTTACAGGTAAAGGGTTTAGTATCAAATTACTAAAAACATTGATAATTTGGTTGTATGTGTATGTGTGTGCACACGTGTACTCCAGTGTGTATAAGGAGGATAAGCGGGGGAGAGAGATAGAAATATACAGAGTAAATGGCAAAGCTACAGCCTAAAATTAAGTGAATCTGTACAGCAGATACATATGTTCTTTGTACCACTGAATTCCTGCAGCTTCCTGAATTTTGTAAGTTGCAAAAATAGAGTTTTAAACAAGCCTTGCATCCCTTTACATTTTCATGCCTACACTTCCTTTTCTTTTTTACCAAAATTATAGTAACAGCAACAGTTACTAATTAATATAGTTAATCCATTTCAAGTGCTCTCTTCCCTTATTTGAAAATAGCAAGGCATGGTTTCATGTTTCTGAACAAATGTCATGTTCTTACCTTTGCATTTGTCTTTACAGTGAAGGTAGGGTGAGGATAGTCTTCAAATCAGCTACTTTAGGGAAAAATACATTAATTTTGAAAATTGGTCTAGAAAAAAATCTCTCCACCTAGAAATAAAGAATACAAAATTATTACAAAGAATATAAAATTAGGGGCTGGGAATTTAGCTCAGAGCATAAGCACCTACCTTGCAAGCAGGCGGTTGTGAATTCGATCCCCGGTACTGGAAAAAAGGAAAAAGAAAAAAGAAGAATATAAAATTATTACAAAGAAAGGCATTGATTTTCCTTTTGATATTTTGGTTGAGTCATAAATGATTTGAGTATAAGGAGAAGGAAGAAAGTAAAAAATGGAGAAAAAAGAGCAACTTAAACTGTGTTTTATCAATATCTCTATGATGACCTGTGTATAATTTGACTTCAGTAATGTATACAAGTGCCAAAGCAAATTCATAATGACCCAGGAAATATTCATGATGACTACAAAGATTAATTAATGCCTTGACATTTGGAAATCTCTGAGTTGCACACTAAAGCAATACATGAATGTCCTCAATGCAGTTATTACATATAGAAGATGCTCAGTTATGATGTGCTGCCCCCAGATCTGAAATGCTCACTGTCTTTGCCCTCTTTCTCGTTTCAGCTGGAAAACCTGGAAGCAGAGACAGCTCCATTGCCCTAACTGGGTCTCACACCATTCAGACCCTCAGTGAGATTAGGAGCCACCATCTAATGTGGAGGCAGGTCGCCAGGCGAATGTGTAGCAGGCTCTAGTTTCCTAAAACCGTGCTTGCTTCTGGGTCATCAAAAGTGTGTCCTCTCTGACTACTCCACTATACACCTTAGAGGGACATTCAGACCATATCAAGCTCCTGTAAGAAAAAGAGTATGTCACACTCAGAATGTGATTTGTGTACATAGCATGAGTAAGATGCTCAATGGGACCAAAGTATGCCATGATATACAATCGGTGTCATCACAGAAGGTGACCCTTCTGTATGTTATATGCTGTTTTCTAGCAAATATTTATAGCCTCGTCAAAAAAATGATTGTTAAATTTACTAAAGTAATGTGTAAAGTAAATGCTACCTCTGAGCATACTGTGTAGCAAATCCCAGGCTCCCTAGTTTTGTAAAAGAATACAATGTTCTCCTTTTGACCTATAATGTTCAACTTTCAATTTTCATCTGGTTCAGACATCAGTTGTACTTTCACTTCTTGGCTTTGTACAGTTGAAAAGGACATCTCTTCTTCTAGCTCCAAAATCTTAAAAACGATGGCTATGAATGGTAATCTTCAACCCTGTGATGGGCCTGTCACCTGCTGACAGATTCATTCTTCTTCACTACAAGTACATTCTGGAGTCACAATGGGGGAAGGTCATTCTCAAGCTTTGGAGGCTTCTTCCCACTGTTAACTGCGACGTTCCCTTGCTCCTGTTCACAGAAGGTAAAACGAACCTAAACCTAAGTGTCACAGAAGGGGAGAGTTGGTCCAAGTGCTCATCTTTGTGTCCATACAGGAAGTCAGACATTAAAACACACCCTCGCTTCCCACAAGTTTCTTCACTTTGCTCTCTTCATACATGACTTTCCTCTTTTTATTTCAGCTCAAAATACTGACATTTTTTGAATCAGTGTGGTCAGATGATAGATGTGTTTGTTGAATGCCAAAACAGTTTGAACTTTTTTTTAAATAGAGAGCCAATAAACTTACCCTCAAAACAGAATCACTCAAACCATCATATAGAAAATGAGTTGATCTACTTTCAGTCATGTGTAGTTACTTGGACACTGAATATTAACAATGGCCCAACACTATAGCCCTGAAGGTTGCACCACCAATATTTTTGTCTTTTTGAGTTCTGTTAAATGCTAAGATCTCCTAGGTAAATGCCTTTCTTTTAAGTAGTCGCTCTGAGACAATTCTCTTTGACTAGTTGTCCTTGTTATGACATTCAGTGGATATTTGGAAATCTTCTATTTTATATGCTGTTTGTAAGCAGTAAGGTTAGATGGCCTGCACCAAGAAGCTGTCCTCTCTGAACTGATGTCATCATTGATTAAATAAATCAACCACATTGTATTCACTATGGAGGTATATATATAAAACAGGGTCCCCACTTCCCTTGTAAATATTCCTGAGTTTACAAGCTGCCAACTGACTGAACTATAAAATGTGCATCCTTTCATCAGTCTAACAAGGCACAAATAGGAATCAGGCATCCAAAAACATACTTCTGGGAGACAGCTGTTGCAAACCACAATAACGAATTTACTGTCTCAGATCCAATCAGTTGTAATTATATGACCCAACTCATGTATCCATTAGAGGAGAAAAAAGATAAACATTTTAATGTTTCCTTCTGATGATGTCTGATGTTTGCTGCTAAAACCTCCAGTTCTCAAATATTATGTCTCAGGATAGATGCTCATTGTGTTTAATTTTTTTAAATTTTCTGATCAATGTAATTAAAATCAGAGCCTCAGAAAGATTTAGTACTTTAAAATGGCTAATGCAAATAAAACACATTACGGGAGAATGAAATATTTGTAGGTAAGTACTGGAGAGAAAATTCTTCCTTTTAATATGCCAGGATAATATGAGTTCTCTCAAGAGATGACATAATATTGCTTTCTATTCATAAGGCCGTTTCTCAGTACTTATTGCTGCTGCTAATCACCTACTCAGAATGAATTATCTACCATGTGGTTGAGAGTAACATAGTCTTGAGGTTGGACTCTCTTTCTGAAAATATTGCATTTGTACACAAGGTTCTTTCATAGCATCTTTTAAGCTACAAAGAATATACAATACATGGGTTCACTTACAAATTAAGCATTCTAAAGAAAATCCTATGATATTAACCCATTGTACAGAAAGCCATTTTTATTATAAACTGGCAGAACTGTCCTATAATTCCGTGCCAAGTAGAGATAACAGCACTGTCTCAGTCAAGTAGGCTAAAGATTCTCATGAAATCTGAAGATAAAGAAAATGTAGGTTTCTGCTTTGTTCTTCCTTCTGATTTCAGTCTTCCTGGTATGAGTGGGAATGATTTCCCAGGAATGCAGACTGTAGCATGGAGGAAAAGCTTTACTGCTATGTCTGATCCTTGCTAATTATTGTGTCCGTGGTAGTTATGACCATTTCTGTCAGTCTCTCCCTTCACTGCTATTTTGTTCCTACATCCTTCCCTTACCAACCACTAGAAATCAAAGAAGATGAGTGATGAGAGCTACTAAGCAAAGTGATTACCAGGACGCACGGGGAGAAGGAGCAGAGGGTGACTGAAAAGGATTAAATTATATTTATGTTTTAAATGCGTTGCTGTAATATTCTGGATCCACAATAATTTGATAACATCAAATAAAAAGTGAAGATACTAAAAGCTTGGGTTTTAAGATTTTACAGATTTGTGTCTGAATACGTATTGTGAAATGTTTTAGGTTTGTGGGTTTTACCAAATAGCTCTTGGCTTCCAGCTTCTCTTGAGAATGTGCACAATAATGTGATCATTTTGGTGCAGTGGTCAGGCAGAGTGAAATAATGTACATAAAATAGTTGACCTACTAAGCACCAAATGCTTCCTATCTGTAGTGAAAATTATAATGAAAATGATTGATGTCCAAAAAGCAGAGAAAACTTGGGAAACTCACTAGCAAACATCTATGATTGGCTTTGGCACAAAACTCTTGTAGGACCTCTTTTCCTCACAGTTTAAGATGGTACCATCCAGTAAGAGAATAGGGCATGCAGACTAATTTAAGGTCACTGTCACTAACTTCAAAAGCAAAACTCTAGTAACAGGTTCACTTTGGGCATGCATTCATGAGCCAATTAAATTTACTAAGGAATCATTTCACCATACACTTATTCTCTATTGTCATCAAATATTAAAAATGCAAGGAATTAAGTACTTTACTAACACCTCAAGAACTAAGAAACCTTAAATGCCAAAGTTTGTGTCCTACAGTGTGTGACAATTATCAAGCTCTAGTCATTAAATATCACAGCATTTCTTAGAACATTGGGTTGATGGTCCAAGGTCAACCGAATCCAACCAATATTATTGTATATTAGGCACTTGTGTTACAAACATGAGAACCATTGACACTGAGATTTAGGATTATGAAGAGGGGGTTAAGAGTGGATTAAGGTAACTACTGTAACAAAATGCTCTTCAAATAACATTGAATCAATGTTGTACTTGCATTTCAAAGAAATTTAACACTCTGAAAACTTTAAAATTAAATATATCAATCTTTGAGAGCATCTCTTAACTCAAATATATGAAAAGATACTTCTAAACCCTGGGCACATATTCTGAAAGATCAGCTTTCCAGAACTCCTATAGCACATTTAATGAAAACTAAGTAATACACTATTTCAACTCACTTTGAATTTCCTGTTAAGTTTGTAGTGAGAACTTCATTAAAATCTGCATTTGGAATTGCATTTAAGCTTTACAAAACTATAAGGAAATGTGGGAGGGCTACTGCTTTCTCTGCAATTTGAGAGGCTTGAGATTTGTGTTTCAGAGTCAAGCCACCTGGAAACTGATACTGAGAGCTCAAAACTGAACATCTGCAAATCCCAGATTCCACACTTAGGGAACCCATAATCTCCTGTGGTGCAGGTATGAGCTCCTCTTTTTCTTTCAATCTCCAGAAATCTAGCATGTCAGTGATCTATTCACATCCAAAAGAACTTCATAGCTGGAAATAAAATAAACTTCTGTTACAATCGGTTAGGATAGTTAAAATCCAGTCATAGAGGACTACTAGATCTGAGGCAAGGCAGAATTATCCATCTCAGGAATGCGAATGAAGAATCCAGTAGAACCTAGATAGGTTAAGAAAAGAAGGTGTTTACTGGGTTGCACTATCCTACCATTGTAATCATTCAGCACCACACTACATTACCAGAGAATGTAGTTGGCATTACTACACTTTATCCTAAGAAATTACCTGTAAATGTGCTCAGATGTTTTATAAAGTAGGAAGCAATCTGTTAGAAGTTGCAAAGATTTTATAGAACTTATTAGACTGCATATAGGACTTATCCACGGCTATCATTAGCACAAACAGCTACAGTAGATATTTTTGCAACCCACAATTTCAGGAAAATACATGTCTTTGCTGGAACACCATAGAAACTTTCCCATCCTTTGTTAGTATACTTTTGATTGATATTAATGAGACTAGTTGCGTTCTTCAATATAAGCACAAATATAATTTATATTTTTCAGGTGATAGGTTTTTCATCATTCGGTTTTTGAAACAATGATAATAATAATTATATTTCATGAAATAAAACACTGCTCATTTCTGTGGTTACTGAGGTCTCTACATCTGTATACTTCAGTGAGTCATAGTTATCCATATCAAATAGTTTGTTTCTTTTCCTATAAACACGTGTCTATATAAATGAAAAACCCAATAATTGCTTAAATTTCAACTAATATTGTTACATTCTTAGCAATATATGTACTTCCTGTAGGAAAAAAACATTCATTTGTTTTATGATTTCACATAGGGAGCACAGAAACCCTTTGGACAAAGGGAGATTTACCTTGATATTGTCACATGCACTGTAATAGAAATTTTGAGCAAAAAAATCAGGAAGAAGCTGTTTGAAAGACTCCATACAACTTGCTTCTTCTTATTTTACAATTTGATTTTTGAAAGGATCTAGGTTTTGAAAGCAGGTAATTCCATTCAAGTGTCTTAAAAGAAACTTCTGGGATCTTTTTGATTTGGGGATATTTTTTTTGTTGTTGTTTTGTTTGCTTGGAGTATGTGTGTTCAGTGGCTTTATTACCAACATTAGGAAACTTTGTATGAACACGCAGAGTTATGAAGTGCTAAATGGAACTGAGAAAAGCAATAAAAATAGAGCACTGTGAAGGAGAGAAGTGAAGGAAGTAATAGAGGCGATGACTCTTTTCCCAAAAACTGGGCAGTACTACCCATGGACACTCACACTGACCAGCAGGAGCTTTATGATGTAAACACAATAAAAGTGCTGTAATTAGCAAATACTA